CCCCCCGTCCCGCCCCCGGAATCCCCCAAGCCGCTTTACCCATATTTTGCTGCCAGAGGAGGTTTGTGGCACAGAGCCTGGGTGGTTTCAGTCCGGAGAGGTTCTAAGGAATAGAAAACATGGGTTAGTGAAGAGGTATTAACCATGATGTTGCCCGTTCTGGCAGGGAGAGTACTGAAGAACAGCATAAAAGCACCATTAAAAGAGTTTGTGGCCGAGCCCCAAGCCTTTGCCACCCTTTGGCACCAAGATTTGACGATACATGCACGGATTTGGGCAGCTTAATCATGCCACATCAGGGAGCTGGGGCCCTGCTGCGCTCTGTTGTCACCGGAGCTGCCATGCTGAGTCCTTGCGGCTCCCGGTCCCGCCGGCCACAGGCCTCTCCTGCAGCCTTGTTGACTGCAAATCATTCCCTTTAGGAACGTGGTTCCTCCCAAGGCGGGGAACACCGTTGGCGCTGACTCTGCAAGGGCTGGAGTGTCCCTGCCCACGGGCTGCCTGGTGTCACCCTGGCAAGAAGTGTCCTCTGTGCCCGGGGTCCATGTGAAAGTGCCGCGCTCATCCCATCGCCCCTTTGGCTTCCTGCCCTAGGAGCACCCATGCTCGGCCACATCCCCAGCCGCCTCCTGCAGCGCCAGGTTGCCCATGTGCCCGTGTCCCCCAGAAGGTGGCACTGAAAGGGTGGCTTTCCCTGTCCCCAGACCCCCCTGGCTTCCAGGGATCAGCCTTTCCGCGGCTCTGCTGCTCTCCTGAGCCAACCAGACAAGGCAAAGGGAGCGGAGGGCACGAACGCTGGAGCGTGTTTCAACCAGGAATAATCTTCCAGAGAAACCCGAGCACAAACCATCCCGCAGGAGGCTCCTGCCAGCGCCCGGTGTCTGCAGCGTCGAGCCGTCCCGTTGCCATGGCTGAGTCACCAGCTGCAGCCCCGGCGCTCCCGGCGCTGCGGTTTTGCCGGGCAGGGAAGCTGATGCATGTGGCGCTGCACACACCGTGGCTGCCGAGGAGGCCAGGAGGAGCCCGTGGGGTGGCACTAAGGCCACGAGCACGTCCCGGGAGCCCTGCCCGTGGCGCGGGGTCCTCAGCGGGACGCGTCGCAGCCCCGTGGGGCTCGTCTCGCATGGGCGCGCTCGAGCACTTGTGTTTGCAGCAGGAGAGACGGTCCTGGGACTAATTGGATGCAGAGGCTGCGAGCGGCGGCTGCGCCAGACGGGAAGTGGGGAAGTTCTTTCTTCAAGAAGAGCCGCTCGTCTCTCTGGCAGGGGCCCGATGTCTGCAGTGACTTCCCGGCGTCGCCGCAGACCCTCAGCTCTGGCAGCAGCCCGTGGTCCCCAACCTCTGCAGCCCCCCGATCGCTGTCTTCCTCCCTGATCCTTCCTCCAGGGATGCTCTGCCCGCTCCGGAGCCGCAGGGGCCTCGCGGGGCCTCCTGCCCCGCTCTCTGCCGCTCTCCTCTGGGAGCACTGTCCCCCCGGCCCTGCTGGGTGGGTTTATTTCACCTTTTGCTTCTCCTTGTGCCCATACAAACTCATCTCCTTGCTCCTGCCACAGCCAAGCCAAACGCACCCTTGCTCTGGCCTCGTCTCCCAGATCCTGGCAAGCGTGGCCTGAGAGGACCTCAGCTTGCATGGAGCTCCAGCCATGGGATTTGGGCATTGAACATATCCCAGGGAGAAGGATTCAGGAATGAAACGTGACAGACACCCCAAAATGGGTAATGACCAAATCAAACCCTAGGTGAGCTCACCCTGTGCCATAGAAATGCACGGAGCCAGGCCAGGAGAATGTGTATCCAGGCGGCAGAGGGAGTCTCCCAGCTGCCTCATCCAGATTTATTCAGACTTAAACATCACGTAGGAAATCTGTCCCCCCACCATGGCCTCAGGAGCTGAACACTTGGGCAGGGATTTCCCCCAGGAGCTAGGATTGGATCTGGAGCCAGGGGTCCCGCTCGCTGGTCCCAGTGTAGCTGGAGGCCAGCGGGAAACCTCCGTGGCAGAGATCCCATGTCCCACGGGCTCTCCTGGGATGAGCCCTGCGGGTTGCCGGTGCCCGTGAAGTTTCCACCCTTCCTTCCCGACCTGCTGGGAGCTCCGTGGACGCTTCAGCTCCTAGTGCGAGAGGGGAAAAGGAGACTGCTGGAGCAGGGACTGCCTCGCTGCGGAGATCGCCGGGGCTGCCAAGCAGCAGGCCTGGAAAAGCTGAGTTTGACCTGCAGGAAGGAGCAACATGTCAGCAGCAGCTTGTTAGGAAACACGCTCGCGCTTTGATTTTTGAGTTGAGCAACCACCAGGCCTTGGACGCGAGGCCTTGGACGCGCACGCATCCTGCCTCCCCTCCAGACGCCGCTCCAAGGGAGGGGAGGAAGACGCGTGGCCGGCATGGAATTCCCGCTCGCTGTGGCTGAGCAGCCCAAGCAGTGCTCCGGGCCCAGGAGCAGCTTGCGTTTGTGCTCCCTAGAGAGCAGAGGAGTTGTCAGAAGCTTGTCAGAGATGTGCGTGACCCTGGCGAGCAGTTACATGGAGCCGCCGAGGGCTGCAAGGGGCAGCAGGACTTGAGGGGCAGGAGGACTTGAGGGGGCAAAAGGACTCGAGGGGCAGAAGGCCTCAAGGGGCAGCAGGACTCGAGGGGGCAGTAGGACTCGAGGGAGCAGCAGGACTTGATGGGCAGCAGGACTCAAAGGCCGCACTGGGCTGCATGGCAGCCATCCCTGTCCAACCCCTTTCCCTGCGGCTGCCTCTCCTTCCAGGCAGCCTGACCTCTGGGAATAGCTGGGGACCAATCCTGTGTCCCAGGCGCTCCTCCCTGCTCAGCCCCACGGAGCCTCCTTGGGGCAGCCTCTTGGCCTCCCTGGCCTCTCCACAGCGCCAGGCCCCCGCGTGCGGACGAGGAGCCCGTTCAGCGCTGCGGCCCCGTCTCCTGCGGGGCCCGTCCGCCCCTGCGCCAAGCGCATTCGGCCGCAAGCAGCAGCCCGGGCCCGGCATGCAGTTCCTAACGAGCTCCAGGTGCGGTGACGGTGACGCCGCGCGGTGCTTTGTGCTCCCGCGCAGGCTAGATGAGCAGCGGTGCTCTGTGGCGTGCGGCGCTGCAGCTCCCGGGGCTCCCTCTTCGCCCTCGAGGGCCTGAGCGTGGATAAGCTTGCGCCACAGCACCGGGGGGTTCCTCCGTGCAATTGAACTCGGCGCTTCAGAAAAACAGGTTCGGGCACTTGGAGCCCTTCCGAGATGGCTCCCGCTCCCCATGGTCAGCACAGAAACAGAGGCGCTTGCAGCCCAGGAACACCAGGGCTGCTGTGCTCGAGCTCCAAAACTGGAGCTCGAAGCCCAGGAGCGTTTCCATGGCCCTACAGGACCAGCTGCTCCTGTGGGTCCG